AAGCATTAGACAAACCCAGCTTCACTTCTTGGAGGAGAAAATAAGAATTTATGCTTAGATGTTCAGCTTGTGCCCAGAAACAATGGCCAGAGAAACTGTGTTAGTTATTTATTACCCTGTAATGATTTACCCCGGTACTTAATGGATTAAGCCAATAAAGATTCATTACCTCGTAGGTTTTGTGGACCAGCGCTTTGGGAGCCTTGGGTGGGGTGGGGCTTCAGTCAGGTGCTGACTGAGAGTGCCAGTCATTTGGAGGCTAGAGAGAAGCCACGGATCAGTCGCAATGTCCTATTCTTGAGGTTGTTGGTAAGAGGCGACCATTAATCTTCATAGAGTCCCTAAGCACCCTCGAAATTAACCCAAGCCGGAAAGAGAAAGGCAGAAGCCACAGGCTTTGAAATCTAACCATATTCTTTTGATCTCACAGAATAACCCTGACAGAGTGTAGGGAGAGACCCCACAAAGGCATAAACACTGAGAGATGGGATGCTTTGGTGGCCATCTTGGAAGACTGCTACCCTAACAGCCTGAAGCTGAGTAGAATGTTTACAACACGAAGATTGACAAGTGTTTTGAGGTGATAGATGTCATATTTTAGCCTATAAACATGTAAAACTATTATGCATAGATTAAAAATAAAAGTAGTTTAGAAATAAGTAAAATGGAAATTATTTTATTAATAAACCACATTAATAATATTAATACTCTGGGAAACAGGTGCTAAGCCAAAGATCAACAAAACTGGTATTTAGTCTCTGAGTTAGATGTGTGTAAGTTTGCATGTCTTCATGTATATCTGTCATCTTTCTACTGTTTATCATCTATCTACTGTATCTATCATCAATCTAATCATCTAATCTAATCTAATTGAGTCTATCTAACCTACCATCTCTGTAGAACTCCAATGGAAGACTAGTCAGTAGTTGAATTTGGATTGAATTTCAAAAAATAACACATGCAGCACAGAAAAACTGAGGGAATAGTGCCTTGGGGATAGTCTTCATGATCTCTAAGTATGTTTTTTCCCTCAGTGTTACTCAAGGCTTTAACTTTGTTCAAAGCTTTCTCTCTGTTTCTGTCTCCACTGAGCACAGGTGTTTTAGACAAGCCCGTGCACTCATGGACGTAGAGCACGAAGTAGTGCTTTCCAGGCACATCTTGCTGCTTCTCAAGCTGGCATGCGCATGTTAAGAGCTCCGCACACCTAGCCAAATCTCAGTTCTCAGTCTCTCCTCCAGGGATTGGACCCCACACTCAGGCCATCCTGGAAGAAGTCTCTGCTTTCTTTACACTCCACATTATTTCTCTGAAATGTCTTGTTCTTCTTCTCTGTGTAACATTCTCTTAGTCCTTTCTTTAATGTTGGCTGCAAATATCCATTTCGTGTACTCCTGAGGCGAAATGAATTCTGCTTTCTAATTTATAATATTACTTCCTGTTCCTCAGGGACAATTAATACGACAGTGATGAGGAGAAGAATACTAATAACAGCACAGTAACTACAAATGACTCAGTAATTTCTGCTTACAGGCTGTGTGCTAAGCACTTGATATACTTCTTTCAGTAAGTCATGAGCTGAGTACGTTGTCATCCTCATTTCAGAAACAAACAAATGGAGATCTAAAAGGTTAAGTAATCTGTCTGGGAGCACAGGCTGGTGTGCTGTGAAATGAGAATGTAAGCGCTTGGATCCAAGACTGTACATTTTTTTTTTACAGAACAGTAAATCAATTATTTTCATTTTATGTATGCTATTTGTTAAGATTGAAAGTTTTTAGACAAAAATTGCATGAAGGGAAATGTACAGAATTTAAATTTACAGTTCAGTTAATTTTAGTAGGAATATAACCTTCTTCCTGGTCAAGGTATCACATATTTCCATCATTTTTCAGAAACTTCCTTTATGCCTCTTCTCACCAATTCCCTCCCCTGCAATCGGATGTAAGTATTTCTGTAATATATATCACTACAGACTTCTTGTGAATTGGCTATAAATGAATTTATACTCATGTATATACTCGTCTATGTATGGTTTATTCCATTAAGTATTTTTTTGAGATTCATCTATATTGAATGGTATTACTATAATTTCTTTTCTATTGTAGATTAATATTTTATGTGTGAATAAGTAATAAAAGTGTTTCCACTTTCCTGTTGATAGTCAAATTGTTTCCAGCTTTTGGTTATTATGAAACAGACTGTTATAAATTCTTACACAAGCCTTTTTGTGGATATAACTTTTATTTCTCAAGGGTAAATACTTAGTTCAGAGTTGGTGAGTCATAGTATAGAGATATGCTTTATAATACCTGCTAACGACTTTATAATACCTGCTAAAGAGTTCCCAAAGGCATTGTACCATTTTATACTCTGCTAGCAATTGGCCAGAATTCCAGTCATTCTATATCCTTGCTGGTATTTATGTTTGTCAACTTCCTTTTTTATTCTTGTGGGTATGAAAGGGGATTGTGGCCAAAGCTTGCAGCCTTAATCACTGTCCAACATCAACATGGTCCTTGTTTGCTTTGATCCCCCACACACAGCTGCATACATAACTGTCTTTTCTACTAGCTTGTAAACTCCCTAATAGTTAAGACACTGTCTTGTAAAATAATGGTGAGAGGAAGAATGAAGCTAGCATGATGGTGTATTCCTGGTGACATATCCTAGGCATGCTGGCAGGAACCAGCAATAAATCAACTCAGCTATATGAACGTAGCTGGCCTGGATGTGAACACAGGCATTAATCTATCAAAGATGTTCCCCAGATGACTTTCTTGTGCAACTAGGATGATGGGCCATTGTTCTCAGCAGAACAGAATAAAGATGTGAGACATTAACTAGTATGGTTTGTGTCTAGATGTCCCCCCCCCCAAAGTGTCATGCAGTCATAGGGCTTTATCCAGGTGGGTAAGAAATTCTTACCCACTATTAAGTTCATTACCCTTATGAGTTAGATGCTAAAAATCTAGAGGTTAATGCTGGGATTAAGGATGTGTGATTAGAAGATCAGTCTACTCATTGGTTTGGCATAGTTCTGGCTAGGATTAGGGATGTGACTGCTACATATGCCCCAGGGTGGGTAGCCTGTATACAATATAAAAGAGAGAAAGTCTTGTCTTTTCTTCTCTTGTTGCTTTTGCTAACTTTTGAGCACCATGATCTGTTCTCTGAGATGCCCCTCTGCCATGCCACCTTGCCTTGGAGTCAAGTGAAATATGGATTGAAACCTTTACAAACTGTGAGCTCAATAAACATTTCCTCTTTTAACCATGGTATTTTTGTCTCAGTGATGAGAAAAGTAGCTGAAACTTTAACATAGAAAATGATCCACTCATTTGTTCTTATAGATAACATTCAGATTGTGTCTTCACAGGAATTATATTATTATATTTAACCATCTACAGTTAAATAACTGTTGATTATTTCCTTTTTTCCCCCTAAGTGGACAGAGGCTTTGATTACTAATCATCTGCCATGCTAAAGAGTCAAAAGAGCACACAAAGCACACTTGTACTAACGCCAAAAGTGTTTGATCTGGTTTCTTGATAAGTGTATCTTCAAGGCCTAAAAGATATGTATTCCAAAAACACTGCCAACATTGCCAAAATAATTTGAGCCTATGATAATTGATAATCAATGATGAATTAAGTATAACTGAAGTAATGTAACTTGGCTTACCATAGACTAAAGTCAAGGTTATTTATTGAAAAGGTAGTAAGTGTGGTCAGTATATTTTTAGTTAAACTGGACTGGATATTGCAGACTGGATATAAAGATGCACAATCTGGTTCTTCTGGTGGACCAGACCCTGAACTTTACTCCAGAGCGTTTCTTTTCAGAAAGAGGCTAATAGGGCTTCAGGAAGGCATAGCCAAACTCATCTAAGAGTTTGAGAGCAGGCGAGTTTTCATTTGAACAACTCTACACGTCAGAAAAGAGGGGGATTCACATGTCCATTTTCTCTTCTCCCTGTTAGGATGATTGTCCTTTAGACTATTAGATGGGCAAAACAGAATTGGACGATTCCTGTGCTCTATCAATGTTGTTTTCCTTGCTTCTGTCCTTGTTTCCACAATGGAGGGAGGAGAAACATGCCTAGACTCAGAGACAGGGGAACATGGACAGGAAGGGAGAGCAGAAGAGAAAGGAGTTTAGCAGGGAAAAGAGAGTGTATGTGTGTGTGCACATATTTTTGCACATACACACACATAGAAAGAGAAGAGGTCTCTGATAACAATGCAGTAGAATCAGAGCCTTGAACTAAGAAATTCTTACCCACTATTAAGTTCAATATCCTTATTAGTTAGATGCTAAAACTGAATGCAATAAAGATGAAAGACTTTCCAAAAAACCTTTACAAGTCAGGGGCAGAGCCAGATGAGAGAGCACAGGTGTCTGCTGTCACCTACTCCTTTCCCAGGGCTTCCAAAGTCTGCCCATACTGCTTTGTCAGGTCTCTAAAGAGGAAATAGCTTCTTTCCTCTTCTCATCATCACCCAACCACCCAATCTGAGCCAGAGAGATTTTAATCATAAAGAGAGATGGTTTGGGGGACCAGGTATTTGAACATTTTGTAGGTGGGGATAGTGAAAGCAGGTATCATGCTAATATATAAGCTACTGTTTTGTGTGACTATAATATGAAAAGTCTTCAGACTTTCCCAAGGCAGAGTTACAAGAAGGGGAGAGTTATCACACTTCTGATAATAAATTACAGGCCTAAGAAATCAATCATGTCTTCAGAGGCCACATTGCAAGAACACTAACAGTTGATGTTAATGTGTTTGGGTTACACTTAGCAATCTGGATGGTTAATACACTTCAGCCATTTGTCCCGGGTCACCAGAGGTGAACAAACCAGCAGTGAATATAAACATAATTGTGTTTCATTGGGCCAAGTTGCCAGTTTGAAGAGCAAGGAAGAGCCTCATCAGAGATCTTTCCCTTCTTCTGGAAGCAAACCGAGAGCCGTTAGAAAAACACACTGTTACTCACTGTTGTGTTTGAAGGTCCTTATGGTTGCACCTGAGAGTCGGGCCCCTAGGATAATAGAGGCGTGGTTCAGTTCATCACTTACAATGAGGCAGCCCTGTGCAGGAAACAAGCACACAGAATGCACGGAGATAAATCTAAGAAGGAAAAGAAAACCCGTGGGAACACGAAGATGTTCTAAAACGAGTAACACAGACTCCTAGCACCTTCTTTGATTTTAAAAGGCCTGGAGTTTAAAACTGGTGTCTGTGTGGGTCAAATTATGCATGGCAGTTAACTTGCAGAAATGTGAATTGTCTTAAGAGATTCAGTCTTACCAGAATCCTTACAAATACTATAGTTCTCACTAGAGAAGTTCATCTAAAGTCTTGGTTAAGCATCAGCTAGATTGATCTTTGAGAGGAAAACTTAACTTGGGGAATTTCTGGGGAATTTCAAGATATGCTAGATTGGCTGGAGTAGTTTTAATTATTGACACTGGGAGGCAGGGTCTGTCTCAGCAGAGCATTTCAGGTTCTTGCTTTATGACGCTCCTGCACTGTATTAAGGCCCCATGTAAACAGAAACACTCCTGCTTTACACTTAGAGATTTTGGATTCTGAAGAGTGTGGATGCCAGTTCACAGCCTGAGGCTACATGGCAAAAGTCAGTCTAATATCCTGCTTACTAATCACTGTCTGTGGTTTTTCTTCTTTTATGTTAAAATTTGTGAATCACAAAACTGTGCCAATATATCAAACATGCAGGGGTAAGTCATGGTGAACTTTTGTCTTTTGTGGCCACTCAGAATCTTCAAGTTCTTACATTTTGGTATTCATAATGTATTTTCTTTCTGAGTAAAGTTGTCATATCTCCATATTGTAGACATTTGTGTATATTAACTTTTCTGTTGAAACATTTACAAGTTATTATAAACCTTATGATGCCTTACCTCTTTATTCTTTAGTCATATTTCCTCAGAACAAGCTTCCACAAAACTGCAATACAATTACCCTATGAAGTTCTGTAATTATACAGTACTATCATATCACATATAATTCAAATTTCCTTAACTGTCTTACTACTGTCTTAACGTCCTTTACAGATATTCTCTTTTCTCTTACCCAAAGTAGAACCTAATCTAAGATCATGTATCACACTTAACTGTCACTTGATTTTTAAAAAATATAAATGTGATTATTACACTTTCTTGACTTAACCAACTTTCCTCATTCTAAGGAACAATTTCAGATATTCTGGAATGACTTACCCTGTGAGACTCTTTGGGGTTTGGCATTTGCCTTCAACTGTCTCTTCCTTGACTGCTGACCTATGTGGTAGTTCTTCCAAAGCTCTCTACTCTGCATGTATGAAGCATTTGGCCTTGTGTTAAGGAGATAACCTACTTGTCTATTAAAACTCATGTTTTGTCACCCTTCTTGCACAGGCATAGCAGACACTCTCAAGAGGACATTGGGTGCAACACTTTTGTCCCATATTTGCCTGCTTTCCTGTCATACACCTTCCCCACTAGATTGCAAGCCACATACATTTACAAGGCACAGGTCTTGTTCATCTCTGTATTTCTCGTATCTGGCTTCATGCCAGAACAGCACATTCAGTGAATGATTGATTAAATGAGGAATTGAATAGATAAACTAGAAAAAAGCTTATAAAAATAAATCCTTAATAAATAATCTGCTACATGGACAATGGGAACAGAAGAGCACACAACTTTTTTGACTTTGCTAAGCTGTCATTAAAGTGAAATCAGAGCTGCGTGTAAGCCTGCAGTTCTACAGTTGGGAACATCATGATAAATAGATTTTCTAGACTCAGCTAGAACATTTATTTAAAAATCTGAATGTCCAATGAGCTGCTCACAAGAAAAGAAGTTTCTCAGTCATACTGCTAACAAATGATCTTCTCAGCTTTATACTTCCTAGGAATAATATGCTAGAACATTAATTATGCTAACAAATTCTCACCTTTCCAACTAGTACAGGGATATTTGTCGAGTTTGTTGCGAATCCCATCCCGAAGATCATTGCTGCTTCTACATTCAGGAACTTGGCCAAGAGATCCTCCAGCTCCTTATGCTTGTCCAGGGTACCTGCACATAAAATTTACAAGGAGCGATTCTTATCTTACCATTAAGTCTGAGATTGAAAATGCAAATTCCAAATATTCCAAGTTCCTAATATCCACCTACTATAAAGTGAATAAATACACTGTGGGATATTTACATACTGGAATGTAATACAAAGAGGGAGATGAACATGGCACCACACACTAATAAATCATGCAAATTGTGCAAAAGAGGTCAGACATGCAAGTGCATGAATATGAATCCTTTTATACAGCAGCTACAAATAGACAAAACAAATCTGTAGTGTTAGAAGCCAGGAGAATAGTTCCTTTGGTTAGGAACCTGAGGAGGGTTTTGAAATTCTCTTAATGTTCTGGTTCTAGATTTGGATGCTGGCTATACGAGCAAGTGTACTTTGAAAAATTCCATTGATCTGCATGCTTACAAGTGGCTTACTTTTCTATGTATATTTTATAATGCAATCAAATTTTCTAAGTGTGTATATCACATTTCTGCTTCCTCCATCCTACATGTCACAAGTAATTGGTACAGTTATAACCTCCTCAGAGATTCCCCCATCTTAAATGCAAATAGACCCAATGGCTTCTATAGATACTAATAAAATAGATATAATGAATTAGACCTTTGCCAAAACAGCAGTTTTGACTATTTTGTTTAATCTTTGAACCCTGATAGTTAGTTTATTTCATTTAATGTTAGATGCTCAGTAATGCAGGTATTATTACTTTACAGATAAGAAAAATAAAGCTTAATGACGTCACAGATAAAAATCAGCAGAGATAATCTAGCCTAACTCCAAAATTTTTAGATCTCTGAGACTTTTTGCGTGCTTCTCTTCCTCCCATGTCTTGCTGATGGGAGATGCTGATGTTTCCACTGTTTCCTGCTTGCCATCGTGTCTACTTCCTGATCCTCTCTGTTTGAGCAGCGGCCACTAATCACATGTGTTTAGTGTATCCAAGGAACTGAATTTTAAATTTCATTTAACTTGCATTAATTTAAACTTTAAAAAAGAAGCACTGTAAACTATTTTCCCTAAAAATAATTTTATTATTTTCATAGGATTACATTTCACATTTCACTACTGAACTGAGACGTACTATACATGTAAAAATGCTCCCATTTTAAAGGTTTAATACAGCACAGCATTGTGAATATAAAAATAACTCATTAAAATATTTCATATTGATCACATTTACAAGGTAACATTTTGACTATATTGCATTAAATAAAATGTACTATCAAATTAATTTTACCTGGTTTTTAATGTGACTATTATCAAATTTTAAAAAATTATAGGTGTTCTTGCATTATATATATATTTTTTGGGGGTGGTGTTTTCCATATAATACATTTTACAGAACAGAAAAATATATAAGAGGAGAGATGCTATAATTTGCCTTTGCAGGATGTCCAAACTGTTGCTGAAAATTAAATGTGAGGAATACTGTCAGTGTGGTCAGGACTACTACAAGCATCTTTCAACCTAAAGACCAATACACTGTACTGTACAGAGAGGGATATCATAATTCTATTTAAATAAATAAAATTAGCTCCCTTATTGTGGCAAATGGGCAGGGGTTAAACTTAATTATGTATTGGACGGTCATTTGGAAGATTTGGACTGGTTATTAAACAGGATGTTTGGAGTCTGCCTGTAGCCCTTTGAGAGAGGTTGCACTGTTAGGACAGATATCTGGTGACTTTACTTCCCACATCCAGACTCATTTATCCCCGGTGTTGTCAGAACTGAATTTATTAACAGAGCCAATCTTACTCAAGTTTGGGAGGGTTGAGTGAAAAACTCACATTGTAGTGTAAAACTGTATTATCAAAGTTATTCAGCATTGAGAGAATCTGACGTGGAAAGAGAAAGTTGTGCGCAGATTTGTCCAGTTTGTTCTTACCTAGTAGAGACCGTGTCCCAAATGGACGGGTCTCATAAAGAAGAGTTAGTAAAGGGCCACTGTCCTGGGTGTGAGTTTGGCCCCTGTGCTGGCACTAAAATTTGAGTGGCCTCTGGCTACTCCCTTGTTTTGGTAGGGACTGGAAGATGTTGTGTGTGTTCTTTCCTCTGAAAGAGTGGCCTTCCTGTCCCAGTGCTGGTCCACTCAGTCTTTGAAATCCAGCTAACATGTCATCTTTGCTCAGCTGCCTTTCCCAACTTCCTGAGGTAAAAACTGGCCATTTCTTCTTCTGCATTACATGACCTTCATCATATGATGATTACAGCAGTTATTACATTGAACCAAAGTGCAGATATGGTGTGAAACTTGATGATTTCCTTAGATTCTATTGTGTTGGAGATGTTCATAGTATCAGAGATACCATGACAGTAAAGTAGATGTTTTGTCTTGGTGACAACAGTGTGTAGCCAAGTCCTGACATAGGGTAGCTGCTTGTAAAATTGTTTGGGTCTTTTGATGGAAAATGAAGACAAAGTTGAGCTTAGAATAGGAGATGGAACTAGGACGATGATAAAAGATTCCATGCAGTGCTAGGGTGACTATGTGAATACCAGTGTGAAAATACCTCGACCCAGAAAAGTCCTTTAGCAAAGGCAGAAGTCACCCAGTTGCTAAATTCCTCCATAACCTTACCTGCCCAGAAGGTCAAATGTCCTGGCCTACTTAATGGATAGCATAGACTGATGTTCAACGAAAGTCTCCACCTTTGATCTGTCAGTTTATCCAGACAGTTGCATCATTTAAAGTCCTTAAGATAACATAGGATGTATTGTCAAGCAATCAAACAGCCAAACAACTATGGGAAATGGGTGTTTCTAAGCCCACCAGAAGAGATTGCATAGTATAAGGTCTCTACCATCAGTCCCACTTTAGAGTGCATGAGCAGAAAGGAAATGTAGGTCTGCACAGTCCAGACATTTTTTTGGATTTCCAGGGGACAGATGGTTAATAAAGTGTTCTTTAAGCAGGTCAGTTTCTATAACCAGATGTCTCACAGTTGAGTTATGAGTAGTTTTGCATTTTGGGATTTACCTTCATTTGCAGAAGTAGTAGCCCCCAAATCCAATTATTGTAGATTGTCTCTGTTTGGTATTCATAGATCAGGTTTTATAAACAAATTTGGGAATTCCCAGGCTGGCTTTACATTTTCCATTTCAGGAAGCTATGCCTTTGAAAGTCCAGTCTAGTCTGGGAGTGAGGTGGTATTCTTTAAGGAATAATAAGCAATTTGACTCTTTTGAGTTAATTGAGTGTAGCATTTCTCTTCATATACTTTGCATTCAAGAGATACAAGTATATAAAAAACTTTGGGCAAATGTGGTCATCACTAGAAATTTGTTTAAGTTCCTTTTCATGAACCTCAGGACCTACTTCCTTTGAGAAAATGTGTCGGGGCTGGGGATTTAGCTCAGCGGCATAAGCTCCTGCCTTGCAAGCAGGCAGTCGTGAGTTCGATCCCTGGTACCGATAAAAAGGAAAAAGACAAAAAAAAAAAAAAAAAAAAAAAAAAGAGAAAATGTGTCAAGTTGCGGGCACCCGTTTGATCCTTTAGGTAGCTCTAGAAATTTTATTGAAATATTTGTTTTTGGTATACACATAGTCACTTGTTTTTTTTTAAATTCCAGGAAAACAAAGGTGCAATCCTATCTGAAGTTACAAATAAATCCACAATAATTTTTATTTTTGTTCTTGATGGCACTTTAGTTCGTGGAGGGCAATAACAGCCACAGATTAGCTAGGGACAGTGGATCTCTACATTTATACCTTATGTGTATGTTGACTCTGAGGGTTTTATTTATCTAGTGGAATGCTCAAAAGTGCTTTATGAATAAAAAATAAATGCAACCTGAATGTATACTTTTGCCCATTCTTTAAGCAATATTTTCATAAGCCAAGTACTAGATTCATTCCCACCAGTCAACCAAATAAAAATTAGATTTAGAATGAAGTACCAACACTCTGTTATAGACTGTATACTTAAGTTGGATTTTTGTTGATCCTGACTGGCTTATATTCTTTAGGAAAATCAAGGAAATTGTTAGCTTTCATTTTGATGTTGAGTTTGGGTGTTAACAAATCTATTTTACAATGATCAATTCTTCCTCTGTGGCATGCGTGAAAATATTTTTCAAACTATGACCACTGTCACTCTTGGCCCAGAAAGTCCTATTTGTGAACTGTCCCTAGACCTGGCCTCATCAGTTTTAGGAACCTGTCAGTGATCCCATCTGTGTGCTCCAAATGTGCCATGGTCATCCATCCATATTTGTGCCACTTTTCTTGAAGTAGGGATTCCCACATTTAATTTTCAGTGTCAGTCTTTCTGCCTAAAGGAGTCTGCTATTAGATATTACCCCACAACTCTTGAGTACCCCTCTCATCTCTTTGTTCCACTTATGTACAGTTGGAGGAGGTTATGAAGCTCTGTTGATCTCAAGTGACTGTTTTTTGCCAAACATTCAGAAGGAGCTGGAAGAAGCAGGATGTGGTGTCTGAAAGGGGTCTAGGTCATAATGCCATGCTGAACATAGGTCAGTGCAGCAGAGACCCTCTGTCCTGACAAGGTGTGACAAAATGGAAGGAGCAACTCACAGCTACCTTCCTACCCAGAGCTCCATTTGAAACAAACCATGCATTACCCTGAGTAAAGCTTTAGTAGATAATTAGAACTTAATGCAAGTAAAGACTGTAAGGGAAGCATGCACGTATGACTGCGATGAGCCTTGATGGTAAAGAGCACTGATGAGTAAAGAGCTCTTAGGTGGACAGAAGGATGACTTTTCTTTCTTCTCATGTTCTCCTTTTTTTTTTTTTTTAAAAAAAAGATTTATTACCATATTTGTTTTTATATTTTATGTATTTAAGGTATAAACATGATATTTTGACATAAGCTCAGTAAAATATCAAGTAAATTAACATGTCCAGTAATTTACCTAGTTATCATGTGTGTGTCAATATCTTCTCAAATCTATTCCTTAACAAAAACTCTGCATAGTGTACTACTATACATAGCCCTCCTGTTGTACGTGAAGTCAC